AACTTGCATTTGTCCATTAAACTCTTCCATTTATTATTAAATATCTTGACACATTTATCAGGTGGCAGATGCAACTGTTTTGAGTGCATCTTATATTTATACATATCGTCCTTTTAAATATCTTTTCACATGTGCACTAAGGAGGTGCTGTTATTACCCCTGTTTTATAGGTGAGGACACAGGCACCCTGAGTCAGGTGGTCTGGCTCCAGGGTCCTCACTTTTAACGTCTGTATGATATTGACTCTCAATTAAGAAGCATTGATCTTTACAACTATTACACAGATGCGTTGACATGGTGCCCTCTCCAGTCTCAGATGGTTAGGGGCCATGTATTATATGCAAGCCACTCTGAGGTGTGGCAGGCTGTTTCCCCAAGTGGAGAGGCCATCGTGGGGCCCTTGTTTCCTGTGGGCTTCCATCCTGCATTGGAAAATGCATTGTAGTTCCTCATGTCTGCTCAGTTAAATGGGTTAAGACATTAGATTATCTGGTTGGAACTAAAGCATCCTGCACAAAATGAAAACAAAAAAGGCCTACAAAGACTTCTGTGAGAGACCAGCATTTGAACATCGTGCTTACAATGTGAACACAGGCAAGCAACGTGGAAATGGCAACACTGGTACTTCAGCTCCTTCTACTATGAACTCATAATCTGTTCCAAGGCAAACACAGTGAAAATGTGATCAGATCTTAGAGGACAATCAAAAAAGAAAAGTCTAAATTAGCAAAAAGATGTAAAATTGTATGCACTAATTTTAATAATGAACATCATTCTAACCCTATACCATGTCTTGAGACATTAGCTAATAGAATGATACAAGTTTATAGTTTATAAGAAGACATAATGAGGTATGTGCCCTGAATTTTTCTGTTTGATGAAGGTGCACAATTAAAATAGTCTGGAGCCTCTAAGGGTTTTTAAAGAGCCTGTGACCTTTGCCTGTCTTGGTTTTCACTGTTCATTTGGGTCCTGCTCTGTTTATCTTCTGCCTAACAAAGACCACATTTCAATACAATTGAAAATGCTAAAAGGGAAGGTATTTTGAAAGGAAAAAAACTCCATTGATAGAAGCAAAGAGACTGAACTTTTGATGGGAAATTGCTGGATATGCCTTTGTTTTTGTGAAAACTGTGCAGGAATAACACATATCTATGAACCTTTTCTAGTCATGTTTCTGGTGCTGGTGCTTTAAGATAAAGTATGTCATTTCAGTGTAGAAAGGAAACCCTTCTCTGCCCAAAGATTTCTTAAAACATTTCTTAATTCTGTATCTCTGATTAATGCGAGCTACTCAGCATTTATATTTCTAATATGTTTTGCTTTCATGTGGTTTTTAAGGATTTAAAAAAACCTCTCTAAGGAATAACTTAGAACTTACTTGGTATTGTTACACTTTCTCTAAGAAGTAGGTGGATCTGATACATCTATTTGGATGGAATCATAGATCACATGTCTCCATATCTTTTTGCATCTTAATTCCATAATTTCCATTAGAGAAACAGAGGTTGAGAGAGGTCACTTGTTTTTCCTGATGTCACAATTTTTTTAATTGACCCACACTTATTAAATGTTTATTGGGCCCTATACTAAGTGCTTTTTTTACATGTGATTTCTAATCTCCTGGCCACCCCGTGACATGGCTACTGTTATTATCGTCATTTATAATGGTGACAGAATGGAAGCTCAGAGAGGTTAAGTAATTGTCTGGGTGTCACACAGCTGGTCAGTGGCAGAACATTTACTAGCACTAAGACTTTTTGCAGGACCATGTTGTAGGAGAGTCCAGGGTATGACAAAGACCTTCATTTTTCTAGGGAAGGACCCCATCTTACTCATCTGTTTTGCCGTGCCTAGCAATAGTGGCAGATGCACAGGAGGTACATGGCACAATCTGTTAAAAGAAAGAAAGGCATGAACAAGAAGCAGCCATTTATAGATATTCCTGGAAATGAGTTGGAGGTGTGTGAAGGCAGAAGCCTATGAATGGTGGGGACCCACTTTAGGAAAACAGTAAAACATTCAGTGCAGAATCTTAGAAGGGCCCATGGACCTGATGCCCCTTAAAGCTAACTCTTCATTAGCTTCAAAGTTGTGTCAAGGCCAAATTTCACAGAACCAAGTTGGATATGCCTCTCAATGTCACTGAGCATGTTTGACTTTTTTTTTTCATCCACTGAAATGTGAAAGCTGCTTCACCATTTCAGTTTGGTGTTGAAGTCATTTGAAAATCACTCTGTATTTGTACATGTGCTTCCGCATTCAGGGAAGTCCTCCATCTCCAAAGGCATCCTGTGACACAAAGACTTTTAAAATGCTTTTCTTCTTGCCTGCATCTGGATAGATTTTCCCCCCCACTAGTTTCTTAATGGTCTTTAGTGAAGGAAGTAAGTGACACTGATCAGTGAAGGTGGACAGTAAGATTTATAATGTATTTGTGCTAGCTGAATGCCAACAGAACCGGCCTTTCCCAGTGGTGCTGTACGCAGACTCAGAAAATCAATAGGGATTAACCTCTGACCCCCTTCACATACTTATACTGTGGGCTGCATCGCTTACCAATATTTCATCTGTTTCACTTAGCTGCTATTCCTTAATAATATGTGGCTAGTCTCACAAGATACTAATTAATTTTTAAAAATGAAGCATCACTTGAAACTGATAAAATATCACACCTTTGGAAATCAAGGCTCTTTTGGTTTATTCAGTAAACTCACATTAATTAGCATTAACTTAAAATAAGACTAGGAGAGAGAAAGCTTTGCCCATACAAACCCCCTTATGTTAACAGTGGTGGTGGTGGGGGCTCTGTGGTCCTAACAGGACAGGTGTCCACTGGTGTCAGTTGGGACATGGACCCCTTTTGGGATAACTGCTAATCTTACCTTTAAGACGCACTTCTTTTTTTTCTGTTAAAATGATTTTTATAGATAAATAGGTAAATATGGTACCTTACAATGAAATGAACCCAATGTATAACTTTATTAAGGGACTTTAATACACTGTCTACTTGCAAACATATGCAGAGGTTTGTGTAAACATATGTGTTTGTATGAGCTGTCCTAAATTATTATTGAATAGGATGAAGAAGAGCAAAATTTGCAGTAATACACTTTTTAACTTTCCCTTTAAGCTTTGGTATATATTATTAAAGTGCTCTGCATTTGTCTTAAAAATTGAAAGTGTTATACATTTCCTTCATCCAAGACCCTTTTGTTCGCAGATTTTTTTTTTTTGCAAGTGTACCTATTCCCCAGAGTTGACTTACAGTTTGCTATTGATCCAGCAGCTGGTATTTGAATTGGTCGATGTACTCTGCAACTTGTTTAAGATACCCTACCTGAGCTATTAGTTTAAATAATGTATTCATAAATTGATTAATCATTACAGTAAGACTTATTAGCTGCATTTATATCTGGGTGTTATCCACAATTGACTTGTAGACTAATAATCACGCATACTTAAGCAGAAGTTGCGTTTTACATTACAATTTAATAATTATTGAGGTGGAAAACAATGGTATTTGTGTGCAGAGGTTGAGTGGATGCAGGGCTCTAAAGGTGGGACCCATTAAGCCGATTGCTGCTCTTCCTTTTCCTAGGTAAAACAGATGGTTCTTCCCCCTAGTGTGAGATAGGGAAAGTGGACCACATTCTGTCAGCCTGGAAGAAGTGGTTGGGTTTGTCCAAGCTGTCCAGGCTGGCCTCACATTTCAGGAAGATGGATGGGGCAGAAGGAGAGGAACTTAAAGCAAGAGTGCCTTTGTCTCCATTTCTGTAATGGCTACATTAGGCGAAGAAGTGTCCTGTGCACTGGGTTTTCAGGGAGTCCACTCACACCACAAAGCTTGTATACCTGCCCTTCAGTGAGGCTGCTTAGGAGCCAGGTTTGCCCACCAAACATACCAGGATAGTCTTTGAAAGACCTGTCCTCTGGACTCCCACGAAGAAAGCAAACAATTCAGCTAAATTCAGGGCTTAGGGCTACATGTACTTTTAAAGATATATTAATAAACTTTATATTTTAGAGCAAAATTGAGTGTATAGTGCAGAGATTTCCTGTATGTCCTTCCCCCCATACACGCACACATCTTCCCCCAGCTACAGGCACTTATAATCAAACTGCATTTTAGTTAAAAACAATCTTTTGGGTGGTGGATGTTAAATTAGGGCTTTGCATTGGGTCTGCCCCACTGGGCTATTTCTGACTCCTTGGGTAGCCCCTTTTTGGCTTTTTTTATGGGGGTGAGTATCTGTCTGACTCTTTCCACTTCTTCTTCCCTGGGAACTGAACCCCCTTTCTTCACCCCAGTAGGTTAGAAAGTCATTTTACCTTGCCACATGATTTTTCTACTTCATAAATCCCCCTTTCAAACATTATTCAACAACCTGCTAAATTAATATATACTGTGTTCTTTCGGCAACGGGGCGGGGAGCCCGTCTTGCAGCATGCATTTGCTCAGCTGTGTTAAAAGAGCGCTGCCTGCCGTGAGAAGGACATCTGCTCACAAGTGAGCAATTGTGCTCCTGATTCGGGGCAGCACCTTTGCCGCCACGCCGCACCAGATGAAAGAACAGATTGCTTTGGAGCTGCTTTTCCTAGGATCTCTCTCCCCAGCATGGGGCTTCATACATTATTGAGAGCAAACCTACTTTCCACTACCACTCCTCCCTGCACTTGTTTTGCCAACCTTATTCAGGATGTCAGCACGGATCACTTTTCTACAAAGGCTGAACGGGCCAGCCAGGGAGCTTCAGCAGATACCTTATTTACAGTGTTTAATTATCACTGTACAGATTTATTAAACTTCTTGGTTACCTAGGAGCCCATGCGGCTGTGGTACAGAGTTTGCTAAGCTTTGAATAATAGGCGTTGTCTTCTAAAACAAAAACCTTCTGTGTGTGCTGCTACCATATATGCCATGTCTGTGATGGTGATTGATGGGGGGAGGGGGTGTTGGTAGATAGTTAACAACAGATTCTTGGGGAGGGCAACTAACATTGACTTGCAATGCTTGCTGATGCTGGTAGTGTAAATACACCATGGCCAACAGGAAGTTATGAAGCATGGAGCTAGTTTCACAAACCATGTGTGTGTGTGTGTGTGTGTGTGTGTGTGTGTGTGTGTGTGTGTATGCTATCTCCACTATGTAGACACAATAGACGTAAACAGCCTCAAAAGCATAGATGACAGTCAAACATACTAACATTATTCAGAAGTATTGAGTTTTGAGTATTTCTTACCTTTGTTTTTTTATATAGTTTATTTAAGCATGACTTTATGCAATTTAATATTTAACAATGGGTGTGTCTGACAACTACCTCACAAAAGTCCTGGAAATTTTGCAGTTGACTCTTGAGTTGCTAACCCCCGACGGCAGCACACGCCTGTGTGTGTTTGATTGACTCCCAGTTTTAAATTACATCCTGTGTTTAGATGAAGTTCACGCTCTCCTCCTAGTTCAGGCTCATCCCTAACAGTGTCCCTGCACAGTTTTCTGCTGGGGCGTGACGAGCTGGTTGGCATGCCCTAAGTGTCCTCAACAGCAAGCAGACACATGCACCCTGGCTGGTGCACCCCAGACGAGTCTGTTGTACTGATATTAAGGACAACAGTGTTTTGCCAGAAGCTATAACAAGATGATTCTGTAACAACAGCATGGTGACACCAGACTATGTTTTGCAATTTTCTTTAATATTTATGCTGGATAAATAATTTATCTCCTTTTTTTTCAGTTTTTTTTTTCTTTCCATCTTGAACATGTTGATATAGACAGGTGCTAGGTTTCCCTGGAAGACTGAAGCAAGGATTGGGTTATTTCCCACTCACTCCCACCCCCAAGAAAAATCAGAGGTGTCAGCAGAGTTGAGCCTCTGGGAATGGTTCCCATAAGTCCTCATCCCATCTACTAATACAAACTAATGAGTTCTATTAAGTATCAGCCCACACATTTGAAGGGAGTCACTTATTAATGTGACATCTTTGCAAGGCATTATAGCATCAGGATCATCATCCTCTGAGGTTTGGGGAAACTCAAAGTCATGGCTCACCTGTTATTTATATGTTTGGGGCTCAATGCAGAGGCTCCTCAGAGCCCAGAGTTTCACAGTGCCAGTCCTGTTAGACTTGGTGCTGGGCCATTCATTGTTGTGGGGTTCTGTCCTGGGCACTGTAGGAGGTTGAGCAGCATCCCTGGCCTCCTCCCACTAGATACCCATAGGAAGCCCTCTCCTGAAGTAAGGATAAAAAAATATCTCTGGATATTGCCAAATGCCCTCTGGGTTGGGGCTTGTGGGGAAGGGGATTGCCATAGGGGGAGAATCAGTGTTCCAGAGCCACAGTTCTTAGCCACTTACAGTGTACAGGGAAGAAGAAGTAGCCATTGCTTCCTTATAGTTAGCCCTCTCTCCACCTGGCTTCCAGGAACCTCCAGCCCCCTAAATGTGAGAACTGAGAATAAGGCAGCCTTATGCCACCAAATCAGCTTTGCCCAGAGATCTGGCCTGGAGGGAGAAATGCAGTGTTTCTACCCAAGGACTCCTGAGAATTGCAGACAGCATCGGGAATGGGGTCTCTAGAGTGGGTGGAACTGCGGCCTGTTCTTTCTCAGACTGTTGCTTGCTGTGCTCACAGACTAGTTTCTGAACTGTGGAGCAAGTAGGTATTTCACTGGGCACTGGGGAGCACCTCCAGTGGAAGATTTGAAAGGTTCCCACTGCCCTTGGCTGCGGATGGAGGGGTTGTGAGAGATAGGTCTTTACCCCTTTAAGGTGGCATAGACTGCACAGTTACTGCAGGTTGAATTTTAGGATTGCTCTGAGGGTGCTCCAAGCCCCCTCCCAACAGAAAAGCAAGTTTTGTACAGCTCAGCTCTAGGTGAAGGGCACCCCGTGGAATTATATCATGTTAACTACACAATGGTCCGCCTGAGCCCTTTCTTCAGGCGCAAGAGGGCTGAGATTAAGCTTTCCCTTTTTTCTTCTGCAAACAGGCCTTTCCGACTTTTTAGCTGGGCCTGCCAGTATGACATTTGAGCATGACAGACTTGGTACCTTGCTGGCCCTGCCTTGCACCTGGATCCTAGGTAGCTGACCTGAGAACCTTTGGAGCTGCTGGGGTGGGCGATGTCAGTATTCATGTCTCAGGCATCATCTGAGACAGTGATTACAGCGGAAGGAGGCAAGCTCTGGGTCATGCAGACCTGGAATGTTCTTCGTGGGCCACTTAGGAACTGTGTGACCCTGGGGCAGTTTATATCACCTCTCTGAGTCTTATGTTTTTTACCTGTTAAGTGGACATAATGATATTTTCATGTCAAAGTAGTGGAGCTATTAAGTTAAATAATAAGAACTAAGCATCCTTCTCAGCTCTGTGGCAGAGTAGGTCTTCAGTAAGCCACATCTATTGTTGCTATTCCTTTGGTTTTATTGCCATTTAGGTCATTTCAGCAAATAATGGCCTTGAGCTGCCTTGTCCCCTCCTGCATATAGGACATAAAACTGCCCAGTCTCTTCAGAGTGTCCAGCTCCTACCTCCAGTAGCCCCTTTCAGAAACAGTTAAGGAGATCAATAGTTATCTGCTTACCTTTCTGGCTGAGATGAGATTTTATGCTTGTTACTAGATCAATAGTGAAAGCACATTCTGTTAAGTTTTCCGTAGGATTCATTAATCTCCCTCAGCCTCAGTTTCCCTATCTGTGAAGTGAGTGTAAAAAGGATGATGACGAAGAGTCAGGTCAAGTGAGGTTAGCAGTCAGGCCCCAGCCACTGGCTGCGACATTGAGCACGTGTTTTCTCCATCCCCAGGTCAACAGCCACCAGTCAGCCTGGAATGACCCTCTTCCACCCTGAGGATCCTGTTCTCTCTTTCCTTGTCCAGGTATCCAAGCTGAAGCTCTCACTCTGAACCTGGCAACATACATTTCAGTAGCACAAAATGCCATTTTAGAGCCAACTTTAGAGGAATTTGTGATCTCTTTTTTCTTCTAAAGACTTTTCCAGGGAAACTTTCATTCTCATTTCTCCCTTGTCAGTTTTCTAATAGGTATGCATGTATTTAACATGCATCTCACACATTTGAATATTTAAACTGAATTGGGGCTGGTCTTTATATTTCCAGAAAGTTCTTATTGTGGTTCTTTTTTATCTCATCATCTACCTCTCCCCAGCAAAAGAATAGGGTAGAAATGACCATTTGCTGAGGGCCCACACTGGGGCTGGTAATGGTGGGAAGGTTTCATTTTGGGGTTTTTGCAGTGGTGGAGGGGGAGTTAGGAAATCATCAGAACAGGTCTGGTATCTGAGGCCACAGTTCTGGTTAGAACACTTGCCACTAAAGCTACTGATAACCAAAGGGTGAATCAGTGTGGGTAACAGTTGGAGGAGTGGGGTTGTGTGACAGATAGTCGGATGATCTTAATGTTTATATTCCACTGGGGTAAGCTGTAACAAAGACCCATCATTTCCCAGATAACCAATCCTTTTAAAAGAACATCTGTTGAAACTGGCAATTTACATTCTTCTTAAAATACGGAGCGACATAATTAACCCTCTGGGAAGAGTAATATTAGTTTATTAGAGACAATTTCTAGTTCTGTTTATTTTTACACTAAACAATTTGTTCAAATTGGAAAAAAAATTTTTTTAGTTGTGCTGTGGATTCACTTGTATTTTGGGTTGACTCTTCTTATCAAGGACACACAAGGTAAATAGCTAGGTTGTAATATGTGGTCACGATGACCATCAGCCATGGACTAATGGAAGCATGCTGCAAGTGCTCCACATTGTTAGACATTTGAATACCGTGGCATTGCACTAACTTTTGGCTATAATTAGTCTATTTTAAAGTGACCTAATCTGTCATCAGATGTGTGCATGTATTTAAGTGGTTCCCTTTGTCTGCAGTTATGGCATGGGCTCCATTGGCACCTATGTTGGTGGAGCTCTCTTGTGCTGAGTGCTGTGGTCCCTATATTGATCGGTACTCTCCACACGAAGATCACAGACACTCGGTCGTTTCAGACACTGGACTAATTTTGGACTCTGGCTTGTTGTGGGACAGAGAAGAGAGAAGACAGGGCCTGATAAATTGATAGTTCCTCTGATTGTTCAGATGACCTTTGAATTCAAAAGCACTCATTTGCATATCCAGTCATTTCGCCCTCAGTTCTATCTCAATCCCTCATCCAAGGAAGTCGACTCCTGTTTCCTCATGATGACTCTTCAAATATGGGTCTTCCCTTACCAAGTAACTCTTCACTTGGTAAGCACTCAGTCATTCAGAGGACCAAATGTCTCCAAGAACCTTCCCCATTACCATTTGCTGTACTGCAAAAAAGGGTTCACTGGCAGGAGCTCACAACATAAAACTAGCCACGAACTCAAGTGAAACTCACCATGAGCTCCTCCATTCGGCTCAGGAGCCTCTGGCCTGGCCCCTGATCTGGCCTCAGGTGACTGCCCCAGTCTTCTATGCTTCCAGTTCTCCCTAGTGGCCACCTTTATGATCTAGCCACACTGAACTGAGCTCACCAGGCTGACTCACCTGTGCCAGCCGTGTCCTCTTCCCAGGCTCCTCCTCCTGCGCTCTTCACAGGTCTGGTGACAAACTGCTCTTCATCCTTTAAAACCCAGCTCTTGAATCTTGTCTTCCATGAAGCCTTCCCAGACCTCTACTCACTGAGATAACTGGTCTCCCCCACCCTCAATGCAGGACACAAGGGGTACTTGTGTATCAGGATTGCCCAGTTGCACAGTCATCTTCCCTATTGGATGAAATGCTCCCTGGGGAAAAGGACTGTGTTTTATTCCATTTCTAACCCTGGCCTGCACCTAGTAGGTGCTCAGTAAACAGTTGTTGAATTTAGTTCCCTCCCTTCCCCAAGCTGACCTGTATTTGAGATGTAATTGCACTTGGTGTCTTATTTTCAATGAGGTATAAGAGTTGCATCACATGTATGTGGGAGTGATTACAAAATTCGATCAAACTGGGAATCGCTGACTCATACCTGGAGTTTCTTTATTTGCAAGCTGGAAGACGAGAACTGAATTTGAAACCCCTGGAGAAAATTAGAGCATATGAAACTATTTTGAATAACAGTCATTTGAGGATTGGGGAGGGGGTGGGCAAGATGCCTCTGGAGACCTGAGAGCCACCCGCCTCTCATTACCTTTCCTTCCACCCCTCTCTCAGTTACCTTCATCAAGATCCCACAGCCCACATACTGCTGAGTCACATCTTCATCTAACATGGTTCCTGAACCTGAGTATCTTCAGCGTAGTGAGTGATACTCTAAGGCATAGAGTGTGGGTGTGCTCTTCTGGGTTATTCTCTAGATTTCTGAAACTTGGCATTCTCCCTTTAAAATTCCTAGCCAATTTCTTGCACATCACAGTTAAATGAATACACAGAAAATGAAGTGGTTGCTGTAGCTCAAGGGGCATTTCCACAGCAAGGAAAACAGATGGTTCCACAGACACGGTGTGTACAGCGTATTAAGGGTGAGGAGGTAGGCTTGAACCAAGGGCTGGTGGAGACTTAATGAGGCATGTGTAAACAGCCATACAATAATGAAGGAAACATGTCTTCTGAAGGTGTTTGTGTGCATGTGTGTATCTTCAAATTGAGTAATTTATTTTTATTTTCTATTCACTAGCCACTGTTCAAGTTGACCCAGTATAAAAGCCCACTGGACCACCTCAATGACTTTTTAGAAATTCAACCCATTCCTGTAACTTCCTAGCCTCTCTTTTATCATTGTATGTAAAGTCTACCTCACAGTATGTTGAAACAAATATATTCCATATCTAGTCCACATTGGATTGATTGTGTATGATGTCAGAGCACTTTGCTACATCTAGAACAAGTGAGCAAGAGATAGTCTTTGACCTTGGGGACAGGTCCAGGGCCTGCCTCTAGGAGGTGTTTACAGAATCCGTGTTTGCCTCCCCTCCCAAGTGAGACTGGATTTATGTTGAAATTTGCTTTATTTATTGGCTTAGGGAAATTTTATTGTGCTGCTATGTGCAGCAACTTATGGAGTTACAATTCAGGGGGTTAACTTAGTTCTTAGAGAATCATCATATCAAAATATGTTTTTCCTTCAATTTGTAGCCTTTTGACAAATTACCAAGAGCTTTATCCCTGATATACTAAATACTGCGGGCCACGAGTGTGAGAATGGTGAATATAAGTGTGCTGGCATCTACTTCCCAAGTCCTTTGCCTATGACAAACATCACTAATCAATCAGAATCATGCTTAGCACATGACTCCAAGCAGGCATTACTAGTTATCTGGAGTCAGGGTAGGAGACACTTTTTATCTGCCATCCTAGCAAAGTGATATTTTGGTAAAAGCATCACCGTTCTTCCTGCAGAATACAGATCGGCCCCCTGTATATCGGTCACACCTTTGGAGATCTTATTCCCAGCGATATTTAGCAGTCATAGCTTGGCCTTCCTCCTGGGAGAAGGCTGGAAAAACTTCAAGCCAGTCACCTATTGGTATAATATATGTTTTCTACTTCCATTTTCTGCCTGGGCCTGACACTCCTCTCCAACCATAAGCTAGAGCTGTGTCAGAAAAAGTTCTCCATTAAGAATTTGTGTATTAAGGATGGCCAATAGACATATGAAAAGATGCTCAATGTCATTAACCATCAGAGAAATGCAAATTAAAACTGTAATGAGCTATCACCTCCACCTGTCAGAATGGCTATCATCAATAAATCAACAGGCAAGTGTTGGCAAGGATGTGGAAAAAAAGGAACCTTAGTATGCTGCAGTTGGAAATGTAGACTGGTACAACCACTATGGAAATAGTGTGGAATTTCCTCAAAAAATTAAAAGTGGAACTGCCATTTGACCCAGTGATCCTACTTCTAGGAATATATCCTAAGAATCCTGAACCATCAATCAGAAGGAATATATGCACCCCTATGTTTATTGCAGTGTTATTTACAATAGCCAAGATATGGAAGCAGCCCAAGAATCCATCAGTAGAGGAGCGGATAAAAAGCTGTGGTGCATATATGCATTGGAATATTACTCAGCCATAAAAAAGAAGGAAATCTTACCATTTGTGACAGCACAGAAGGACCTAGCAGGTATTATGCTAAGTGAAATAAGTCAGTCAGAGAAAGACAAATACTATATGATTTCACTTATATGTGGAATCCAAAGAATAATATAAATGAACAAACAAAACAGAAACAGAAGACATAGATACAAAGAACAGACTGATGGTTGTCAAAGGAGTTGGAGGACTGGGTGAAAAAAGGTGGAGGAATTGGGAAATACAGATTGGTAGTTACAAATTAGTAATGGAACATAAAGTGCAGCATAGGGAATATCTATCCTGTATAATAAAAGGCCTGCGACCATAATGGCATAACGACCTGAACGACCAATCGACCAGTCGCTATGAGGTTCATTGACCACCTCTTGGTCCCTCCCCACAGCCTTCAGGCTCTGATCGCCTGATGGTGCACGGGGAACCAGGGTGGGTGTCAGCAGTGGGGGAGACTGGGGACTGGTGAGCGGACAGAACGGCTGACCTCTTGGTCCCTCCCCCCAGCCCACAGGCTCCGATAGATCACCAGATGGCGAACAGGGAACTGTGGTGGGTGTCAGCGGTGGGGCAGGACTGGGGACTGGCGAATGGGAGGAAGATGACCCTGATTGCAGACTAGGCCTAGGCACCCTACCTGCACAGAATTTTGTGTGCTGGGCCTCTAGTATATATATAAAAGCCTAAATGACTATTAAGACCTGTTGACCGAACAACCGGTCAACCAGTCGCTATGATGTGCACTGACCACCAGAGGGAAGATGCTCAATGCAGGAGCTGCCCCCTGGTGGTCAGTGCGTTCCCACAGCCAACCTCCCGGGGTCCCTCCCCCTGGCTGGCTGGCCCCGATCGGCCCCATTTGGGACTGGATGAGAGGGCCCTGATGCCCCTGATGGCCCCGATCATCAGCCAGGGCCTCTAGTAATTAATAATGTAATAACTATCTATGGTGTTGGGTAGGTACTGGAAATATGGGGTGGGGGAACACTTAGTAAAGTATTTGATTGTCTAACCCAGCTGTGGGCAAACTACGGCCCATGGGCCAGATCCGGCCCGTTTGAAATGAATAAAACTAAAAAAAAAAAAAAGACCGTACCCTTTTATGTAATGATGTTTACTTTGAATTTATATTAGTTCACACAAACACTCCATCCATGCTTTTGTTCCGGCCTTCCGGTCCAGTTTAAGAACCCATTGTGGCCCTCGAGTCAAAAAGTTTGCCCACCCCTGGTCTAACCACTATATGCTGTACATCTAAAAATAATACAAAATGGTACTGAATGTAAACTGTAATTGAAAAAAATTTAAAAATAAAATAAAGAAAAAAATATTGTGTATGGAGACAGGTGGCTATTAGTGTTCTGGTCTAAAAGCTTTTCTGGAACAGAAAGGACCCATCGCAATGGCAGCCTTACCCCGGTCAGTGAAAGTATGATTTCACTTACAAATACAAAGTTTCAGGAACATATCTGTTGCATCAAGCTGTGTCTATTTGTGTGGGTAATTAATGTGTGTGCCTATTATTCCCTTAGATAGCAGAGCTTAGCAATTATATTGTCATTCTAGGTCCCTACAGTGTCAATTGAGTCATTTCTAAAATATCTTTAGGCTGCTTAAAGTGACTCATTTTTTGTAACTTCTGATTTAATGACATAAGGAAAACAACATAAATATAGCTGGTACCTATATAGAACTTCCCATGTGCTTATATACATAAGTATATAATACATAGCACTCTTTCTGTAAACGAACCTTTCACCACAATCCTATCGCCATTTCAGATATCAGACAATGGAGGCACATAGAAGATAAGTAACCAGGCCAAAAGTGTATAGCTGAAGTATTTGTCTGACGCTCTAGCGCCTGTGTTTTTACCCACTGAATACTGTGGGATTCCCCCTAAATGTTTGGACAGACTAATGCTAACACTTTCTCACTGAGCCAGGCCAGGATTCCAGACTTTTAAAATGATTAGAAGGTAACAAAGTTGGGAACCAGAGGCTTAGAGAAGGTCTGAATCTCAAGGCAGTGTCTTTCCTTTTGCATTTTAGACAGGTCAATAAGTAAACATGAAGCAAACACAAAGCAACAAGCAAACAAAAGAAAATAAAACCAGCAACAAATCACTTTTGTGCCACTTGAAAATTCTTTTGTTGGCAGCCCTCCACAGACCCGTGTGATGCACAGGCAGGAGTCTATGTGTGAGACTCACATGTGCTTTGACTGGAAACACGCCTTCTCCTGGGTTGGCGTGGCTGTGGCCTAATGGACTGCACATCACCATCTTTTTGAGGAAATAAATGTAAAGCTTGGCCATTGGCCCCTGAGTCAGCACATTGGACTTTATGTCAATTAGCTTCCCCCTCCTCTTTATGGTATGGCCTTTCCTGTAATTACAGTCAAGATCCTATAGCCGGAGGAAGGCCTGTCAATTGAGTAACAGCTGATGTCCATCGAGCTGTGACAGCCGGTTCTGAGGGTTTTAGGCCTGTCCTTAGAGACCCTTGTTATTTCCTCCTTCGGTACTTTGCCTCAGCCCACTCACCACCGTCAGGTGGACGGAGGTGTCTTATTCTGTGGTTGAGCCCAGGAGGTCAGGCCCCTGGGATGGGATATACTGCAAAGTAGAGATGTTTTATTGATTTGTATTGTTTTTAATTAAAAAAATTTTTTTTAAATACCCGTATGTGGGCACATAGGAAAAGATCTAGAAAGATAAGTAGTGGACTTTCCATCAGGTTTTCCCCTGGGGAGTGGGTTTGGGTAGGAAGTCACAGGGAAACAATCTTGCGTGACTTTAGACCCACCTGTGAGCATGGATTATTTTTATAATTTCAAATTACTATATAGTTAAAAAGTCAAAATCTATAAACTTATTTCTAATGGTCAGAAATTCCCCAAGAGAGGAAAAATTTAAATGAGAATCACAAAAATCTGGGGTGCCTTTAGCTGAAGTATGGATTTTCATTATTGCTTTCAGAATTTTTAGCCAATTAGAGCTCATACGTCTTTTTGACTGTTTTTCTACATGGGTGATTAGCTTCCCCTGCTGCCCTTTCCCCCATTTTCCAGCAATTTTCTGTCTCAGAAAATGAAGTATACGTCTGCAGTCATCACTGGTGTCCTGCCTTTTTAAACTTATAAACAAATGAGTGCCAGCATGGCAGAGCAGATACAAAGATCACTGAAGATGTTGTTGTGGTTTGTAGCCCTGTTGGAGAATTTTGTATCTGTGAGGAGCTAATAGTGGAATTTAGGGGAGGAATCATGTCTGTTCATAGGTGACTGGCATTCTGTGGGTCTATTCAACTCACTTGGCCACTATTGTAATGTGAGAGGTGTCTATGCCACTCTATGACTATTGCTTTTCCAGGGTCGTGTTGTGGTGAATGGGCTTGTCCATCCCACTTGCTTTGGAGCATGTGGACCCAAAAGCAGGACTGTGTTCGACTCACCCCAAGTTTTTGGTTTTCTACCAACAAGGCCCCTTTGGTTTTCTACTAACTGCCAAAAATTAGCTTTCTCGTTATGTGTTTGAGATTGCTGTTCCCAAGTGGATGGGGCACTCTTTGAAAACCAGAGTCCTTGGATAGCTCACTCCAGCCTACGTGGGACACCTTTCTGAGCCATCTAATCTACATGGAAGGAGAGAAAATGCTCTTGCTCATCAGTTCTCTCCTTTCCAGCTCTGTCAAACCACTAGGAAGGAAAACCAAATAGTCAAAAATCAAGAGTTAAATTTTGCCAAGAATGGTATCAGCAGCAAACTTCGGGAGAATGATTGTGAGGGGAACCACGGGCTGTGGGATGCTAAGGCGTGCAGCCCTCTGTGTAGGCCTATTGCTTTGGCTAAAATAACTGGCCACGTTAGATAACGTTTCCACACAGGCCTGTGGTGGTGTTTAGGGAAACTCAAGGGAGCATATATGCATGGGGAAGTTGGACCAAATGATTTTATAAAAATACAGATCCATTAAAAAGGCCCATATTTTGCTCTGAAAGCTGGTTTTCTTATTTATAATTTGTTTCTTTCAAGATTTTTTTTTCCAATTCTTAAATAGACTTTTTTTTTTTTTTTTTTTTTTTTTTTTTTTTTTTTTTTTTACAGCAGCTTTTGGGTGACAACAAAATTGAGTGGAAAGTACATAGATTTCCCATATACCCTTTGCCCCCACATATATACAGCCTCCCTCAGTGTCAACATCCCCTCCCAGAGTGGTACATTTTTATGATTCATGATTGGTTATTTGGTAATATCCTAAGCCAGAATCTTTCACTGGTAACACCTTCTCATAACTACTGGCCATTGAGAGAAACTTGAGATAAAGGCAGCAGGCTCTCAGGTCTGAGTTTATAAGCACCATATTCATGAGGCCAAATTCTTTTAGGCTTTGGATCTGTTTGGTAGTATGTCAATGACAGTAATTATTGAAATTGTAAATGGGCGTTAGAATAACTGATTAGTGAGCAGAAATAGTATGTTTATATTTCCCCCCATACCTTATTATATGTTTAATAATATTGTTTGATTGGATCTAAGCAGCCCTCATGATTAGAGCCCCACATTCTGAACTCTGGACACTATATTACAGGGACAGTGCTGGGTCTGGAGATGT